TATATAAGCACACACACACACAAGCATATATATATCCATATACACATACATACGTACAGAATAATTGTTTGACGAGTTATCTAGTTTATCTTAGCACAATCTCTACACTAGAAAACACAAATATAAAAAAAATACATTGGTAGCACTATCAATTCATTCAAAGAACGTTGGCGAATAAATAATTATATATATATATATATATATAGCCTTTGTTGTCTGAATTTTTTAGATGAAGCCTTGACAATTATTATTCATTTTTGACTAGTATTTCATTCATCTTATTTCTCTTGCTTTTCCACCAAGTAATAATAGTCTTAAGTTGTCTGATTTCTTTTACAAGAAGCCTTGTCGGTTATTATTAATTGTTGTGTGGCATGTAATATCCAGCTTTGTCATCATTCGACCACCCGTTCAGACAGTATCATTGACGATTGTTACATGTTGTTTGTGGAGCGTAATTTACATGTGATATTTGATAAAATTAATCGTGTCTTTACAGCTTAGGTTTCTGAAATTATTTTTTTTTTTAGTATTTTTAAAAATGTTTGTGGTCTTTAAAAACCTGTAATATCTGTTTTTCCTGCCCTTTTAGATTAAATTTCGTTGCTTTAAACCGGATGGTAATGACAATGTAAAATACAGCATGGCAGATACAGTTTGATAAAATTGTTTATTCTGAATGTATTTCAATAATAAATCCTAAACGCCCCCATCTTCGAATGAAAAGGTTAGCATTCGTTTTTTTACTTGATTATTTCTCCGTATTTGGCAATCCGTTTACGATGTAGAGTCTGACATTTTAATTTAATAAATTTAATTAAACCTTCGCCGCTTGCAAACTTCAGAGAAAACTCCAGAGCGCCATAAATATTTTGATCTGAGTGAATAATAATTATTCTTTCAGAAGGAGATAGTTTCTGATTGTAATACATGAATTCCACGCAGTTTTCACCGGCCGGACGATATATTCGCCCTTTTCTAGAATAATGAAGCCGTTAATATCAAAGGAAAGCCACAAGGAATAGGACATTCCAAAGAACGCCTGATCCAATCATTAAATTAAATTCAAGGGTCGCTATGCTGGAGGTACATAAGTGCTAATCCTTTTTTAAAATTTTTTTTACAGTTTCATTGATATTTTAAAAATTCCCGGTGAAAATTATCAAGTGATTTGTTCACGATACTAAAAGTGCATCCCCTCCTCATAAAACTCTGAAGAGGCCTGCTAAATATTTTAGGTGCCACCTATAGAGAAATAATTAGCAGGATGATCTATCTGTCGTGTCCCTTCAGAATTATAGTGATCATAGCTCTCCACAACATCCTGTCCTTTGGAGCTCTTAATAAATGTTATCTCTTTGTTATCTCCCCTAAAATTTGCTCCACAATCCCATTTACTCAAGCGTACTAAGTAGGTTATGTGTTGTCGATCTCTGTCCCAAACCTTTCCACAAACTCGTTCTTCTTCTATGTGCCGTCAGGATGTTTGCGATCATGTCTCTCCACAACTTCCTTCCCTTCCAAAAATGATATATTTTTGTTATCTTCCTTAAATCTTGTTCCACAATCCCATTATACTCAAAGTAGGTTTTGCCTTGTCCTCCTCTGACCAAAACCTTTACACAAACTCGGTGTTCTTGTATGTGCCTTACGGATGTTTACGAGCGTGGCTCTCCACCACGTCCTGTCCTTTGTAGCCCTTAGTAAATTTAGCCGTTTTGTTATCTATCTTAATCTCTGTTAAACTAACCATTTGTACAAGCTCATTTTTCTTTTTCTATGTTTCCCACCCTTCAGCCTATAGACAATCATGGCTCTCCACAACTTCCTTTCCTTCCAAAAATAATGTCTTTTTGTTATCTCTTTCCTCTGTCCCAACCCTTTGCACAAACTTATTCTTCTTCTAAGTGCCGCGTCCTTTCAGGATGTTTGCGATCATGGCTCTTCACAACGTCCTGGGCTTTGTAGCTCAGTAAATTTTGCCGTTTTCTTGTCTCGTCTAATCACAGTTCTCCTAACCATTTACATAAGATCATGCTTCTTCTTCTATGTGCTCTGTTCCTTCAGGATGTTTGCGATCATGGCTCCCCACAACGTCCTGTCCTTTGTAGCTCTTTGTAAATGTTGTCTTTTTGTTATCTCTCCTAAACCTTATTCTGCCATCCAGTTACACAAATTAATTTTTCTTCTTTTATGTGCCATATCTCTTCAGGATGTTGGTAATCATGGCTCTCCACAACTTCCTGTCCGATATAAAGTTTGTTGTTTTTCTATCTCATATAATTCGTGTTCAGCCAACCATTTCCACACATTCATTCATTCTATTCTATGTGCCGTGTCACTTCAGGATGTTTGCAATCATGGCCCTCCACAACGTCGCGTCCTTTGTAGCTCTTAGAAAATTTGCTGTCTTAATCTCTGTTAACCATTTTCACACGCTCCTTAGATATGATATTCACTGATTTCCTCTGCTCCCCTTGCTTTGAATATGTTCCGTGTCAAATTCAACAACTTAAGTCTATTAATTCTTTTAAGTGACGTACCCCTTTGGGACGTGGCTGAACAGGACTCTCCACAACTTCCTAAAACTTCGTAAGTCTGAGTAAAATTTGTCACTTTTTATCTTTTTTAATCTCTGTTTTGCCAGCCATTTACATAAGTTCGTTGCATAGATTATTCGGTGCTTTCTTCTCTCCCCATCGTCCTGAGAGCGTCAAATTCTCCAAACCCCCTTTCCTAATTATGTACTTTAGAACAGTATCTTTTTGATTCTACTGAGAAGTATCCTTTTTGTTTCCATCTTCCCTGGAATTTTTTCCTTGCTCACATGTCCAGTTCGCGTGATTTCTAGTGTCCTTTTGTAGAACCACATTTCTGATGTCACAAGTTTCGGCTGTGGGGAGATGCTTCAACATTCACTTCCCTATAAGAGGACCGATATTACATAACAGTCCAGCACTATTTTCCTTATTTTTGTTGCAGGAACCCCATCTTCATCTGAAAAGATTGTCCAGCATTCATTTCCATATAGAAGGACTGATATTACATAACAGTTCAGTACACTTTTCTTTGTTTCTCTTGCTTCAAGTCTCTTCTTCATATGTGAGATTGTCTAACATTGCATATCTGAGGATTGATATTACATAACATTTCAGTTTCCTTTGTTTCTGTTGCTTGAAGTCTCTTAATCCTCGAGGAGACAGTCCAACACTCACTGCTATATAGGTGGACTGATATTTCACAAAAGTTCAGTTCTTTTTTCTTTGTTTATGTTGCTCGAAGTCACTTTTCATCTGTAAGGAGATTGTCCAGCATTCACTGCCATATAGGAGGAGTGATATTACATAAGAGTTCAGCTCCATTTTCTTTGTTTATGTTGCTCGAAGTCACTTCTTCATCTGTGAGGAGATTGTCCAGCATTCACTGCTATATAGGAGGAGTGATATTACATAACTGTTCAGTTCTACTTTCTTTGTTTATGTTGCTCGAAGTCACTTCGTCATGTGTAAGGAGATTGTCCAGCATTCACTGCCATATAGGCGGAGTGATATTACATAACATTTCACTTCTCTTTTCTTTCTTTATTTATTGTTTCTTCATCTATAAAAAAGATTGTCCAGCATTCATCTATATAAAACTGATCGAGATTTCAGTTCTCCAGCATTATATATGCTCGCAGTCAAGAAATTTATCTGCAAGGAGATTGTCCAGCATTCATTGATAGGGAGGAGTGATATTAACATTTTCAGTTCTCTTTTGTTTGTTTATGTTACTTGAAGTGAAACTTCATCTATAAGGAGATTGTCCAGCATTCATGCCATATAGGAGAAGTGATATTATTTTCAGTTCTCCTTTCTTTTTGTTTATTTACTTAAAGTCATTTCTTCATCTATAAGGAGAAAACTGCCATATAGGAAAATTGTTATTAAATTAAAATTTCAGTTCTCCTTTCTTTGTTTATGTTACTTGAAGTCATTTCTTCATCTGTAAGGAGATTGTCCAGCATTCACTGCCATATAGGAGGAGTGATATTACATAACATTTCAGTTTTTTTTTTCTTTGATTATGTTCTGTAGTCATTTCTTCATCTGTTTATTGTCCATTCACTGCCATATAGGAGGAGTATTACATAACATTTCAGTTCATTTCTTGTTTATGTTGAGGAGATTCACTTCCAGCAATTGTCACATTCACTGCCATATAGGCGGAGTGATATTACATAACATTTCACTTCTCTTTTCTTTCTTTATGTTACTTGAAGTCACTTCTTCATCTATAAAGAGATTGTCCAGCATTCACAGCCATATAGGAGAACTGATATTACATAACATTTCAGTTCTCTTTTCTTTGTTTATATTGCTCGCAGTCACTTCTTTATCTGCAAGGAGATTGTCCAGCATTCACTGCCATATAGGAGGAGTGATATTACATAACATTTCAGTTCTCTTTTGTTTGTTTATGTTACTTGAAGTCACTTCTTCATCTATAAGGAGATTGTCCAGCATTCACTGCCATATAGGAGAAGTGATATTACATAAAATTTCAGTTCTCCTTTCTTTGTTTATGTTACTTGAAGTCATTTCTTCATCTATAAGGAGATTGTCCAGCATTCACTGCCATATAGGAGAAGTGATATTGCTTAACTCATTCATTGTTTCTAACGAACTTTTCCTGTTTCTTAATACTTTTCTTAATTTTTCGAAGGCATGTTTCGTCATCCCTATGCGACTTTGGATTTAGTTGTAGAATTTTCCATCCTTTGTTAAACTTATGCGCAAATATCATTAGTAAAAGGGTATGGATGAAGTTCTTTTCTCCCAGCAGTAGTTTATTTAGTGTGACATTATCAATAAAACCATCAATATCTTCATCTATAAGAAAAAATAAAATCTTTTCCAAATTGTTTCTAAAACTTTTCCTGTTTTTAATAAATATCCCGTAGATGGCGATTTAGTTGTAGAATTTTCCATCCTTTCTATGCGCATCTTATAAAAAAGGGTATGGATATCTTCTTTTCTCCCAGCAGTAGTTTATTTATCTATCAATCCATCAATATCTGTTTATATGTCCAAATATGTAAATTTCGGTATTTAATAAATATCCCGTAGATGGCGATATTTTACATAAATCTATCTATCTATCTATCTATTTATCTATCTGTTTATTGTTATGTATATATCTCTCTCTCTCTCTTTTCATATCTATCTATCTATCTGTTTATCTATCTATCTTTTATCTTTATAGCTCTCTCTATCTATTTATCTGTCTATCTATCTTTTCTTTATCTATCTAATTTGTTCATCTATCTATCTATCTATCTATCTATCTATCTATCTCTGTGCATTTGCAGATCTATTTGTGCGCAACGAGGTATCTGTATTAAAACAAGATGAATAAAGATGTTTCTAACTCCAGCTGTGTCAGCAGATGTTGACTTGCATTGATGTCCTTAGGCACGGTATAAACCTATTTCCTTATGTGTTTTCTCTCCTCATTAGATAACTTAACGAGAGGTCTCGATACTAGCATGTCACAATGTTTGGCGAGGAAACAATTAACGGAGCGTGTGCTAATTTGAGCAAACAGCTTTACAATTCTCGGTCGGGCGGTAACAGGGAAACGCTCTTACATCCACTGTCAACCTTGACAGAAAGCAGCCATCATATATAAATAAATAGCCGCGTGATACAGGATTCCGCATCCTTATTATCTATTCAGACATATGCGAGAATCTAAAAATATGACTATATGTTAACAGGGGTCTGCTATATCGATACCTCCTTATTTAGGCATCCTGTCATATATCACATCTATTTTAGGCTGTAAATTCTAGAAGAGGGTCTTTGTACAAGAATAGGACCAGTATGGTGTAGTGATGTATTGAATGCTACTCCTGCCAGTGACGGGGATCTGCAAATGCGATTGGCTGCATGCACATTTAGTTTAAAATTTTAGTAACGTATTAGGGTTGCTCAAAATTTTATACACGAATTGAAATATTAATGATGAATGGTCAAAAGTTTAATTTGCAAGTAGCATTATTAAGAAAATATGAATAATTTAAGCAATGATCATTTAAGATTTTGAGATAGAATTACTGGGGCTAAACTAAAAACAATATGGGCACGTGACCGGACGGTTAGAATGTTAGCTTTCTGGCCATGAGAACCGCATGATATGTATGTATGTATGTATCTATCTATCTGTTCATAGCTATCTCGAGCTGTTCATATCTATCTATCTATCTATCTATCTATGTCTGCTCATATCTATCTCAGTCTGTTTATATCTATCTATCTATCTATCTATGTCTGCTCATATCTATCTCAGTCTGTTCATATCTATCTATCTATCTATCTATCTATCTATCTATCTATCTATCTATCTATCTATCTATGTCTGCTCATATCTATCTCAGTCTGTTTATATCTATCTATCTATCTATCTATCTATCTATCTGTTCATAGCTATCTCGAGCTGTTCATATCTATCTATCTATCTATCTATCTATCTATCTATCTATCTATCTATCTATCTGTTCTTAGCTATCTCGACCTGTTCATATCTATCTATCTATCTATCTATCTATCTATCATCTATCTATCTATCTATCTATGTCGGCTCATATTTGTCTCAGTCAGTTTATATCTATCTATCTATCTATCTATCTATCTATCTATCTATCTATCTATCTATGTTCATTGCTATCTCGAGCTGTTCATATCTATCTATCTATGATTTTACGATAGAATTACTGGGTCTAAACTAAAAACTATATGGACACGTGACTTTATTTTAACGTTTAGAACGTTCGGTTTCTGACCGTGCGTCCCGAGTTCGAATCTAACCATGGTCGATTTGTCAGGAAGGTCACTTCCTGATGTTATCGGTCTTGAGGAGGCTATCCCAGCATGATGTATATTTGGAAAGTGCCTGAAAAACCATACCACTTGTTGACCCAAGTCTTGTGATTGAAATTTTGTAGACGGGACACTTTGGGAGCCGGTCGGTGGTGCCATGATAACCGAGGGTTTGAGCGTGTTAGCCTTGTTCAGGGTGTCTATAAGGCGAGATAACGCGTCCTCTCCCAGAAACTGTAACTTCAGTATAAACCACAGGTGGGTCCTGTGGGTGTTGAACAAACACAAATGTGTCTGCGACGGGTGTCTGCGACGGGTGTCTGCGACGGGTGCCTGCGCGGGTGTCTGCGCGGGTGTCTGCGACGGGTGCCTGCGCGGGTGCCTGCCCGGGTGTCTGCGACGGGTGTCTGCGCGGGTGTCTGAGACGGGTGCCTGCGACGGGTGTCTGAGACGGGTACCTGCGCGGGTGTCTGAGACGGGTGCCTGCGCCGGTGTCTGCAACGGTTGTCTGCGACGTGTGTCTGCGACAGGTGCCTGCGCGGGTGTCTGCGACGGGGTTTGGCTAGCCACGCACCATTGTCACTATTATTAAACTAAAAACAAAACATTTAAAGGCACGTTCTACAAAAATAAACGTGGATATATAAGCCATAAGGGTAATGGAAATATTAACTGTTTCTTTATAAGGAAACATTCGGCATTCTCTGACCAAAGTTCTGCACTGCCCAAGTGGCTGAAATCAAATCATTTCTTGCACCAGTTAACAACTTATTTATTTTCGAGAACAGCTGACAGTTTTACTTTGATGGATTTACAATTAAGACAAGAGTAAATAGTCCTGTCATTGGCATAAACACGGAGTTGTAAACTGATGGCATCGGAGAGACCGTTGATGAAGATGAGAAATCTATCTATCTATCTATCTATCTATCTATCTATCTATCTATCTATGGACAGAGAGTTTGTAGATATTCACAGTATAGTCACAGAAATCAGGGTTATATGGTATCTAATAGTTTCATGCCTTAAGTGATTATCAGAACATATGATACTCCATTTTCTGTAGGCTCTTTGTGAAAAGGGGAGGCTAGCTTACTTCTCTCTAGTCTATTTCAATCTGTTCATTATCTCTCTCTCACTCTATCTATCTATCTATCTATCTATCTATCTATCTATCTATCTATCTATCTATCTATCTGATTCTGTTTCTATCTATCTATCTATCTATCTATCTTATAAGATAAGTGTAGTGACCAAGTGATGGTTAAGTAATAACAAAACAAGAGGTTGCTGATAAATAGTGTATTGAGCAGTAACTACAACAGAATTGTGTTACACGACTTGGGAGTGTGTGTCGGTTGACCAGTGTTCAGTCTATATCACTGTTCCCCCGAGGCTTACTATTCTACTAACTTTACAGTAAGTGGAAGAGTCCACAATAGCCTCATTAGAGGGAGGACGCCACAACAATAAAGAATAACGTAGTTCCAAGGATCGAGTCTTGGAGATTTCCGTATTAACGTGAAATGATCCAGAAGTGTAGCCGTTCATTATAAGATTTTTAACAACGATTAGATGACATCAAATATCCAGCCAGACACACTATATTCCTTGGGTTTGTGGAGGAGGCCAGTATGTCATACTCTGTCAAACGCCTTCGAGATAGTGATTTTCCAAACGTAGTTTAGATATGGCACAAAGCCGAAAGCATGGGTCACTCAGTGAGCATCCAACTCCCTACTCAGTCGTAATTGTTCTGATAAGACAAGCTTGCTAACCATTACACCGCCTCGAGGTGCCTAACGCCTTCGAGATATGAAAAACACAACTAGAGCCTCGCCACTATTTTTTAAAAGCCTGATAGACAAATTCAGCAATAAACGTTGACACATCGACGGATGACCGAGAGAAAAGGCATAAATTGTTGGCTGTTTCAATGGCAAAAAAGGCGTTGAGCCAGTGAACCCTGGGCGTTTTGGCAAAGATCACCTGTCTTTGAACACTCTGAACTGGCGCTACAGATTCACAAACCAATATTCTAATAACAGAAGTCACATCACTTGAGGACTACCAACGGCAGCAACAGCTAAAATGGCTGTCACACGTAACTGGAAGAGAGAAAAATGACAGTTTAATTATCTAACTGAAACCAGATATTGGATAAGTGAAACAAAATATCAAAGACCCAGTACCAAAGCGAAGGATAATCCTACTCCCACTCACAGCACTCCCCAACCATTTACCAGACTCAATATAAACTTAGGAAAAATAATGTCTCTGGGTCATTTGTATCTGCTCTTTCGCCAGTAAGCGAGGCATCCATGTCCCTTTTATTAATCACCAAAGAACTAATCAAGATAACTGCGTGTTACAAAGAAGGAGAAATCTCGTTTTTTCTTTCGCTCTTACACTTAATCTCTCATTTTCTCTATTTGTTCCAACGTACCGCGAGCTACGAACGCTGTTTATACAAAAGCAAATAAACCTTCCAAAAACACGTTCTCTAAGCGTTCGTTCATTCACTTTGAGCGTAAAAATCAATTTCTGTGCCAACCTCCACAATGGCATCTTTCTGTCGGAGTTTTTAAGCTTAGATAATAGATAAGATTTCGAAAGCTGATCTTTTAGGCAAACAGGCCCTCCTATAGCTGGAAAATTGGCGCAACGCAATCTTACTAGTAACGCTTGGATTTGTACTGTCAGACTGTTTCATGCAACAACGCAGTCTTAGGCCATCTTGCAGTATGAAACAGACTATCGGTACTTCCTGTTGACCTTAATGTCTACTTTTAAATTTACATACTCTCTCTGATATTGAGCACTTTCAACTGGAATTTCCAAAATTAAGAAATATTTTTCAAAACAACACACAATACACATTTTGGTTGTTCACTGCAACAAAATTGTCTACAATTTTTACAAAAAACAATGCTATTCTAATTAAAAAAAATTAAATAATTCACTGAGACGAAAATGTCTAGAAAGTGCTTTAATCGTCAGTTCATCTTCAGTAAATTTACGTCCAGCTTCTTACAACGTATCATCATTCTTGGTAGATTTTCTGTTATCCTAATGCGGGATATTTAAAGACAAAGGTGATGGAATGAAAAAGAATCTTGATGAATTTGGTTAGGTTGTAAGCGAAAAAAAAAAATTTCTAAATTTTGAATCTCCCAGCATCTCACGTTCATGCGCATGTGTAACAATAACGTAAACACACCCAGTTCAATGACTATATATATATATATATATATATATATATATATATATATATATTATATTATATATTTTTATATTATATATCTTATATATATTTTATGTTATATATTTTTATTATATATATATATTTTAAAGTATATATATATATATATATATATATATATATATATATAATTATGTTTTAAAAAATATGATTTCTTCGCTACATAAGAGTTCTCATGTTTCAAAAACGAGAGCCGAAAACCTCAATATATTTATTAAAATTAAATTGAATTAAAGTATCAAGCCCCGTTTTATACTCATGAGAAAATTTAGAAATGACCAATCTTGAAATTTACGTATCTTTATAAGTATATTCATTCGCAAAATTAATTAATATGGAAACGGCTGGGGTGACCATTTTGATAAGTGACCTAAAAGTTAATTTTTACCCACATATCAGCCACCTTCGGAAAGAGGTCAAGCCGAGGTAGGGTCGGGGTATTCATTTGAAAGTGAATGATGGCATTCATGTGCGCACATCATCTGGTCAGTCACAGTGAAAGATAGCTTTTGGCACCATTGCACAATCTTTTAACGGCTAAATAATAAAAAAAGTTATATTTCGTGTATCAAATATCATTTTGTCAGTATTTAAAATAGAGCACTTTTATATGCACTAGAAAAAGAATATACACTGGTTTTGAGCGAACTGGCGTTGTTCAAACTGCTGGTCATGTCAAATATATCTCCCAGAGACTGTAACTAAGGTCCGCTCATCATTGTTGCAGTACAAATCTGTTGTAGAGTGGTTTCACAGTGGAGGCTTGTATTTGTACTAAGTCAGTCCTAAAATAGGTTCGACGTACAAAACGTTAGGAACTTGATATAATAGGTAATGACTCAGAGAAATCTAGTTGTGGTGGCTGATACTTTAATATCCGACTAACAGTCGTTCGACATCGACTGGCTGACCAACTCACTGAGCGACTCAGCGACTCCTACTTATTATAGGTGGGAGAGTCTATTAACTATAGAATAGGTGTGTTCCACTATAACAAAATCAGAGGTGGGCTCTGTGGATGCTGAACAAGTACAGATGCAACTGAGAAATCATCTGCAACTGATGTTGGTTAGCTGCACTAGCAGACGGTGTCATAAGAAAAAAAGTATATCTATTCCTTTTTTCCTATTGCCTCTGTATTCCTGTAAGCAAGTATGTTTTGAAGTTATCATTCCTCATTATGCGTCCCAGAATTTTCAGCTGTCTCTTTATTAATCTAAGTATAATGTAGCCCCTGTTTGCCCGCTTACCAAGGCTATGGTTTTCTTTTCATATATACCCAATGGAGAGACGGGGAGGGTCTGACTGTTTTTGGTGATTGGGTGGTTAACATGAATGGAAAGAAAGATAAGAGTGAGTAGTATCGATTTCATCTATGTGCCTGCGTGAGTGTCTGCATGGATATAGCTCAGTGAGTGGAAACAAAGATCGTTACTTACGACTTCAAACCGAGCGCGTCGCCATCTTCCTTACCAAATCGAAACTGTTACTACATTTACTTCCTTTTTTATGGAAGAGCGTAGTTTGCCGCTGAACCGGAAGTTAGACATAATTGGATAAGTTACTAAGAGGAGTCGAAGTATGTGATTAAAAATCTATTGTAGCTGATGGATAGTATACAAGTCGATACCCGATCAGTATCGGCAGGGTTACCGAGAAGAGGTGGGGTATGATGTTTGAAAGACCCGAACCCCTAATGAACCTTGACTAAAAACATCACTGTTTTTTTTCCTCTTATTTTCCTTTGAACTTCCTCGTTGCTTGCATAGTATTCTCAGCATCCTCCTGTAGAACCACATCTCTGTTTTCTTTATCTGTGTGGCGATTGCCAGCTTTATGTTAAATCGGTTTAAAAGAACCTTTATTTTATTTAATAAGAAAATAATTATCCCGGGCTAAACCGAGTAGCCCTGCTTATCTTTTCTAAAAGGGAAATGAAAAATGCTGAGTTTCCAGGGCTTCTTAAACGGCCTACCAGATGTCACCAATTTTAAACACAGTACTTATGCTAATTTCTTACAATGATATTTACCCTGTACAAGGCCCAAGAGCCTGCCGAGGTAGAGGACATCAGAGTGAGAAGCACATTTTATGTTGATAAGTGGGGAGGATAACGGATAACTCTTAACTTGAACAGGTTAAGATTGTAAAGATCAGGGAAAAATCCTCTTGGGAGTCGGTTCTACAGATTAGCGGTTCGCAGGAAGAAGCTGTTAGAGTGAGACTCACTTTTCACATAAGGAATACAGTGGTTTGCTGCAATGTAAGTGGCATGGCGGGTGCTTTTCGTGAAGGTTCGAACTGGTGGAAGCAAGGAGCACTTTCCATGGAAGCAGCGAAAGAGCAGTAAGGGGCTTGCCTCATCTCATCCGTGAGAGAGATGTTAAACGGTGGACAATAATTTGTCACCCAAAAGGACGCGGTGACGCTTTAGGACTCTATCGAGACTGGAAAGTGAAGACTGTGCAGCTCCTGCCCAAATATGAGATCAGTACTCCATTTTAGGCCTGATCTGGTTCTTGTAAAATAGAAGATAGCAGGAGGTGTCAGGTACTTACTCGTGAGGTACAGGGTACCAACCATTTTTCCAGCACCTTTAGCGATGGACCATATATATGAATTCCACTTCAGGTCTCGGTTGAGTTTTAGGCCCAATAGACGCTCAAGGCAGGGAGCCTATCCGAGGAGACATCTATTCATCGTGACTGACTGGTGGTAGATCGGGGTCCGATCGGTAATGATGGGATGAAACTAGTTTTGTGTTCGAGACATTGAATGTAACCAGCTAGTTTTTCCCCCGCTAAAATGTCAGAGCTAGATCGGATGAGAGATCAGCTGCCAATCTCTGGTCATCAGAAGTTGTGGATGAAACAACTATTTAAGCTTGTTTTAAAAATAGGTCTGACAGGTGTGACAAGGTAAAACTGGCAGCTGCTCTCGAAAATGACATTCAATCTGTTGTTAACTGGTGCAAGAAACGGCTTGTGAATTTGAATGCC